ATTATGCCCCGTTTGGCCCCCATTATTTGACGTTATAATTTTTGGAATAGTATTTTTTTTAGATAATGTGGTTAAAAAAGAAAGAAAATTTTTTTTGGTTCATGTGTAATATTATTTTGTTGGAGAATATGTGATTAAAAAGAAAAGAAAAAAAATGTATTATAAATTAATGGAGGCCAAACATGGGCATGGGTAAATTCCATCTACGGTCACTGAACTTTCAACGCAATCTTAATTGTGTCATAAACTTTTAATTGGTCTCAATTAAGACATTAAATTTCAATTATGTTTCTATTGCATAACTATGTCACACTTTGTTATCTAACGTCCTCCTAACTAATTAAAATTATTTTGTTTGAAGTCATATTGTAAACAATCTTTTCGTAATTGATATGTGATACTCCAGAAACGAAAAACATAAAATGAACATTATGTAAAAAGTTTTATTTATTTATTTATTTATTTTACTTTAATACTTTTTCTAGTTTGTACTTTGCGTAGTGGTGAGTTGGCATATGACGCAACGATTGCATGAAATATTTGTTGCAAAATGGTATCCAAATAAGCAATTTACATAACGGTTAAGAGACAACGCGTGGTAAAATTTAGTGATCTAGCTGAAATAAATAAAAGTTTAATGACCGAGAAAAATGATGGCTAATTTGACAATAAAATTTGAGTAAATTACAAAGACCTTCCTTAATGTTTATAACAATAACCGAGACACCCTCTTTTAAAAATTTCAGAAACCCCCCATCTTAGCATAAGTTTCATATTTTGCCCTTTATCTCCTTAATCATCAATTACTTTAAAAGAGATGATGTCAACATTACTATTCACCTTGAAACATAGTGTTCACGTTAAATGGGTTCCATCATGTAGTTAAACTCGTTCTACACTGTTCACACAAAAGAGGCATAATTATTTTTACTGTTCATCCAGACAAATGAAATTAATGTGGCTGCTTTATTTCTTCTCATTGTTGACTTAAACAAACATTTACTGTAGTTTTCCCTCTTTTACCTTCAACCTTTATCCTATCCTATCCTACCTATATATTATAATCTACCTTCCTCTTAAAAGAGGGGACCAGGGTTCACTATTCATTCTTGTCACACTCGTTTTCATACTTGAACTATTCACGAACTGGTTTTGAACTGGTTGTCTACTGCTTTTTTGTTGCATATTTTTTCACTTTCCCTTTCATTTCCCTTTCCCACCTTATTTCCCTTTTCCTCCTCCTCCAAAATTTGATAATGAATGTACTTCTTCTTCTTCTTCTTCCGTCAATGGTGATTCACTCCTTCCTCTAAATTAAAACCTAACCCTAAAATCCAGAACCCCCTCTGACCTTTGCTATCATGTTGAAGGTCCTCACCTCCACATGCTGGTTCCACGTCGGTACGTCGTCGTTTGGGGTACAACTTCGTCCCCGGGCCCATCGTCGAGACCGCCTCTCCAATTCTTCGGGTCCTAAACTCCCTCCGAGGAACTAACACAAAAAGCCCGTATTTTTATAGTCGATTCTTCTTC